CCCCCCCCCCGCAATTCATTTGCTCAGAAGAGGTCCCCGGCACTCCCTCTGCTTCTCTCTCTGCTGCTACTGCCACTTTCAAAGACTGCGCAAATTCTGAACACATACAATGCCGGAATAAAAAGAGTACATGAGCGCTGTAGCACACGGGCAAAGAATGGTGTCTGGGTGTGCTTTAGGAGTTCTTAGTATTGTTGTCATGTTTATGTTCTGTAGCCGCCTCTGTCACGAGCTGGACACAATTAGGAATGGTGAAGGGGATGAAAAGGAAAACGAAGCGGAGGTAGAATGCACTCGTAGAAGCAAAGGTGAGCGACGTGGAGGAGGCAGCTCTGGAAACCTCCCAATTTACAGTGCTCTTCTTTGTTGTTCCCTACCAGGGAAGGCTGGAGGTTGCAGTTCTGTCACCTCTGAAAGGGCACTATGCCCACTTTCCTTCACTGTAGAGAAAGACATCCTTTTAAATTTTCCTGCCTTTCCTGTTTCTTTTCTTTCCTTTTTTAATGGGAGGTTCTTTTTGGGGGTGGGGAGGAGGGGGAGCATCCCAGAGCAACCTCAGGATGCTCCAGCTATTTCTCAGAATACTTTCGCAGGAATAGCAGCAAATGTAGATATGCCTTAAACACAATGGTTCATAAGCTCACAACTCAGTAATTCCGGTTCTTTCTTCAGACTTCTGTGGATAAAAGAAATGCCTGTTATTTGTTTATTTATTTAAAATATTTCTATGCTTCCTTTCTCCCCATGACTTATGACCCATCCTGTATAAAGGATGCAGCAAACACCAAACACTTCAGGAAAGCCCTAAATATGCATTTATTTTCTTCAGCTTTTGTGTATGTATTTTTTGAACTGCTGGAAGTACTTTGCTATTATTACGTATTGCTTTCTCCCCCATATTTTCTAGACTAGTTATATTATAACTGGCTTGTTTGAGTGCTTAATGTCTATTATTGTATCAGATTTTATTGTGCAAGCTTGCTTGAGGGCTAAAAATGTTTACAGTTTAAAATAACAATGAAACCTACTCCCCTCCCCTCAATTCCTTTCTACAGATTACAGGAAGACCAGCCTTGCTCCATATGTGAAAGTCTTTGAACAGTTTGTGGAGGAAATGGAAAACTCTCACCGAGGGGAACGCCTGAGGACTAGTGGTAAGCTTGTGGGGCAGGAGGAGGATGCTGGATTGTTCAAGTCTCTGAATGTTGCCCCTCCTTACTGTGTGGAATTGGTTTTAGTGGCAATCCCACAAGTACTTTGCTTTAAAAGTTACTTTTATAGAACACCACATTTTTGCAGAACAGAAACACTGTAACCACCATTGTATTCCTTAGATTGCAGTTTGATTATTCTAATACACCTTGATTTGGAACTTGAGGTATTATACTCTTTGAGCTAGACTTTAGGGTGGAACAAAGCACTAAAAAGTGTCATCCCTCTGACATGTGGAACAGCTGTACCTTGAGGTCATTGCATTCTTTTTCTGTTCCATAGAATTGGCTGCTGTTTGTGGTGGATGGGAAAACAGAGCATAGAGATGTTAGGCTAAATGGTGCATTGCACATTCATCATGATAGAACTGCAAAGCTGGAAGAGACCCTATGGATCATCAAGCCCCTGTCAAGGAGGCATAGTGGGGAATCGAACTCCCAACCTCTGGCCATGCAGCCAAATACCTAAACCACTGAGCTATCTGTTGCACAGAGAATTCTGGTTATTGGGCAGCTCAGAAGTTGAGAAAATGAAACAAAGTAAAATAGTTGCAAAGCAGGGAGACATAGGGATGTTTGGGGTAAAACTTTTGTATGCATTTTAAATACCGTGCAGCTTCAAATTTCTATGAATATTCCTGGAGATTTTGCATTATATATGTTTCATGCAACTTAGAATAACTTGAGAAGCAGCACCAGTGAGAACCCAGATCCACTATGACAGGAATTTTCTAAATCCACAAGGATTTGACACTTTAGCTCCACATATCACCTGTTGAAAGAAATTGCATTCATTTACCCCCCCCCCAAAAAAAAACAAAGGATTATCATGTCAGGAAAGAATATTAAAATTCTACAGGGTTCTCCCTCCTGGATTACCAGCTCCCATAGTAATGCAAGATGCAATATGTTAGATGCCTTCACCCTAACCGTGTTTATGTTTCTTCTTACTAGACATGCAACTGGATTTCTGAAGTCTCTTGATCGTAAGAATCATGCAATTCCATGTGGGCAGATAGTTGTGCTCAACTGCAGCAGGATCTCTTTTAGTTGTTTTGCTGACGTTTTGATCTACAGACTTCATTCTCAAAAGCAAACGGAACTTGTCTTTCTTACCAAATGAGATACTGTAAAATTAGAACAACTCGAAAGCTTTAGATACCAGCAACAGAATTAAAGCCCATGTAAAGAAAGGAGCTGGTGTGAAATACCTACAGGATGTACGAGACTCGTAGAAGTCTTTTTAACAGACAAGCACTTCCTTTGGGAGCAGAGAGGGGAAGGGTTTATATCACATACTGCCGTAATGTACAGAAAAATGATGGTGGTATTTCTGTGTTTTTTACTTGAGATTCACATAATTTAAAAAAAAAGAACAAGTAGCTCTTAATAGTTCTTGGAAGAAGGGAGTCTGCTTCACAAGCTTCAGGGCTCATATGATGGTTAAGAATTCAACATGCAGAACTTGATTACAAATCAAGCAGATGGTACTTTATCTCACATTTTGGACTCCTTTGGGAATGGGTTGGTTCGTTCCATTTTGGGGCAACCACATGACACACAGACAATCGTGAATCAGTTCAGTCCTTATCCACGCCTACCTGCACCTTTTTGCGCCCCTGGCAAGAGCTAGTGCTTTTTTTTAGTGTGGATATGATCACTCCATTTTAGTTTGGTTTCCAGAATATGTGGTCATTGGTATTCAACTAAAGCACCACTGCTAGATGTCTCCCACAGTGATTTGGTGCTATGTCACTTGTGTGACGAGCCAATGAGGTGGTCGGTTACCTACCAAGAAATGGGGGGGGGGAATCCCTTACTCCAGGGGTCTCAAACATGCAGCCCGGGGGCCTTTTGCAGCCTGCCAGATGATAGTTTGTGGCCCCCGCTTTTCCTGCCCCCTTCTCCTCCTCCTCAGAGCCTAGTTTGTGGCCCCCGCTTTGCCTGCCCCCTTCTTGTCAGAGCTCCAGCTGGACTGAGGAAACTCCTGGGCGGCTTCCTCAGGCTCTTGCTCCACTTGGCAGAAAATCTGATGGGTACCGATGGGGGCTTTTCTCCTTTGGCAAGGTGATTCTGTGAGTTTTTAAAAATTTTATATCGTGCCCGCCCCCGCTGGCAAGGCGATTCTGTGAGGTTTTTTAAATTTTATTTCATGCCCGCCCCCGCCTAGGCAGTTGCTGGTGCTCCCTCCCTTCTCTGCTTCTTCGTCCTGCTGCTGCTGGTAGTGAAGAAGGAGCGGGAGGTGGTCGTGGCTGGCGACGAGGACTCACGTGCCTTTCCTCCTCCTCCTCGGAGCCCCAGCTGGGCTAAGGAAACTCCTGGGCGGCTTCCTTGGGCTCTTGCTCTGCTTGGCAGAAAATCTGATGCAGCCCAGCCTCACCCAGACTCTGTCTCCAGCGGCCCCCAGGAAAATTGAGTTTGAGAGCCCTGCCTTACTCCCCACGGTGGGGGAGCTAACAGGATGCAGGGGCATAGAGGCTGAAGGAGAGTTGCTTTGAGGTGCCACATGGCTTCCTGTCCGAAAACCTTCTGATCCCTTTGCATGATGATGCAAAGATCATTTTAAATCTCAGATTTAAGTGACCCTGTTTAGTCCAATACAGCCCAACAGCTTCAGTGTCTAACCTTGATGTTCTGTTGGTCTCATCTTCCAGGGAACCCGCCCCCTTTTTAGTACTGAAAGTTAGAGCAGATTCTTTTTGAGTAGGGTGCGTGTTTGACGAGTGGTGCTACATTAAGAAACCAAACCCTTACCCAAATATCTACTAGAATTAAAAACACAAGATGAAATAAAGAATATGTGATAAAATGGGCCCAAAATGTGGACCACAATATTAACTTAAAGTCATGGTCACAAATATGAGAAGGTAATATTAAGCTAACAAAAGCAATTAATTTCAAAGAAAATATGTGTAAGATGTCCTATAGATGGTATATGACACCTGAAAAATCAAAAATATATCAAAGTGCCTCTAACAAATGTTGGAAATGCAAATCAAAAGAAGGTAGCTTTTATCATATGTGGTGGACTTGTAGGGAAGCTAAGAGTTTTTGGAAACTAGTCTATGAGTTATCCCCAATTCCATATGAACCTGAATTGTTTTTGTTGGCAATAATACCAGACTCGATAGAAAAAGAAAAAAGATATTTGATCATACATACATATAACTACAGCAGCAAGAATTTTATATGCCAAATAATGGGGAAAAAAGAGGAGGCTCCAACAACCCAGGAGTTAATAGAAAAAAAATATTGAAGCAGCAGAGATGGATATTAACTGAAGTATTAAAAGACAATTAAATTGCTGAGGCTAGAAAAAAGTGGGGACTTTTGTATAATTGAATGAGATATGAGAACATGAATGAGTTAAAATTCTGAGAAAGAAAATATTAGATACAATTTTAGAATTTAAAGACTTAGGAAAAAATGATGTGTAAAAGCTTAGTAAGAAACACATCAACAAATGCTCTCTATCACATTCTGTATTTTTTATTTACCCCAATATCCTGATCCAAATCCCCTTCCCTATGATCTTCCCTTACCCAATGAAAAATGAATTTTAAAAAGGAAGAAACCAAACCTAGATCTACACAAAGTCCCAAAACGCCTGTCACGGTAATGCCCCATTTGCCAGGAACTGAAATATTCTTTGTATGCATACCCTTGCTTCCCCCAAACTGACTGAGCAGTCAGAACCTAAATCCTGCAAGAGTATTTTCTCCATAGTAAATTAAAGGCATTTGCTGTACTGTCCACTCAGCTAGATCACTGCCGCAATTTGCTCTTAAAACAAAAAGGTCTGATAAGTTTCTCTGGTTCCTCCTTTACTTTTATCATTCATTGGTGATACTGTCTCTTCTGCAACAGCCTGACTCTTGCTGCCCTTCACATGATTAATGTTTGCGAATTACAAGAAACTTCATTGACCTCTGTTTCAACATGTTTGGTAGTAGTTGTTTTTTAACCAACTGATAAATGGGACAACTTGCTGAGTCATTCTTGATTTATTTTCTCACATAACTAGAGAATCCCTTGTTCAACTTTCTATTGTTCACTTTTTCTTTCACATTTCACATGTAATACATTCTATGTCCATGTGATATATCTTCACAGATACCCTGAAAATTTAAAACAAAGCCAATTCAGTTCCAAAAAAGGCGAAATAATAGACACATCAATAATGACTGCAGTTATAAGTTTATTATTTCATATTATTTCCGGGGATTGAAAATTACGTTACCACAAGCAGTTCTTGAAAGCTTTTAGTCTTCCATTTTGGACATCATGCCAAGTTTTTAAAAAAAGCCAGGACAAAATGAATGCTTTATAAACTAATGTTTTTTTTTCATAGATGCCATCACATTTGCTGCCACTTTTTTCCTCCCAACCAGAAGCATGCTTGCAGTCAGCAGCAGTCATTTGCTCATCCAAAGACATTTCTCCACCTTCCTTCCCAGAGTGGAGAGGAGGGCAAAACAATTGGCAATGGGGTGGTATACGAATCAAATAAATAAATAAATAAATTCCAGCTGAGAAGTGGGGCCAGCAAAGGAAGAGACAAGATCAACTTCTCTTCCCATTACGTAGTTATACCAAGACCTTTGGGGAGGATGTGGAAAAGGCTTCTTGCTGCCCTGGGAGACGGTTGGCTTCAGTGACGTATTCCAGTTCTTGAACTGGCCGGTGTGAATGATCACAAACATTCTGGTCCTCTCCAGTACATCTCTTTTGAGCATAAAGCAGCTTTACTAAAGAGCAACGGACAGCACCAAAGAGGAGAGACACATCCATAGAGCTAGGACCCATTGTAGTGTCCCTGCATCATGGAAGCACCATAGCGTTCTCCCTGGAACACAGAAGTACGAAAGAAAGGTTTGGAAGGGGCAAAAAGATGAGAAACCAAAAAAACAAAACAAAACAAAAACCACCTGAGATTGAAATCACACTTCTTCAGACATTGTATGAGGAAATAATGAAATACAGAAATCACAAATAAAACATTCAAATCATTCATTGGCTTTAAGAATCTTGGTTGTGTGATTACATCTCATGTGCAGTAATTTATGGTCTATGTTTGGTGTTAAGTTGTATTGTAAATAGAAGAGAAAGCAAATAACCAGACAAAGGCTGTATTTCATTTCCCCCCATATGTTTGAAGAAGTAGATTTGATCCACAAAAGCTCACATTAAAATATAATAGTTAATCTTTAAAGTGCCACCTCGTTTTTGTCCTTTTTTGTTTCTTTAGATGTTACCTGATATGCTTGCACAAACCAAGACGTCTACCTCTTCTAAAACTATAGCAGTTGAAGTTACCAAATATTACTAAATATTAAATAGTCACGTCACTAAATGTCCACTAACTAGGACATTCACTAACGCTGGATTCCATACATGCTGAGGGAACAAGAGGCACTCGGGAGCAGCTGGCTGCCCGCAGAGTTGTTTCTTCTTGAAATGCTGCCACTTAAAAAGAAAATAAAAGAAAACTAGCCCTGCTCCTCATTATAGCAGCAGCCAGAAAATTCAGGAGATAAGCAAAGGAAGCCGTCACTAGGACTGAGGTTATAAATGGGGTGTGGGTGGGTGGCGATAAGGAAGTGCCTTCAGGTCTTCTTCACCAAGCTTTTAAATCAAAGGATACTTAGGGTGACCACATGTCTCATTTCAGAGGACATGTCCCCCGTGAGAGCATCCTGCTTGAAGGCCACTCTGATCCATTTTTGGTTCAAAGGCTACGCTCTATCACTTCAAAGCTAGGGGCCTTGAATTTGCCCATGCCCAGTTAGCCCCCAGAAAGTAGGTGCACAGAGATAGAAGTTGGAAGCAACAAGTTCTATAAGGAGAAATATAGTTAATTATAACAACTTCGGAGAGATAATATAACAACTGGGAGTAAAGCTATAAAAGTTGGATATAACAACAGCTTGCCATTGCTTTCTAGGGCATTATTCCCAGACATTTTGAATGGAAATCCAGGTTTTATTCCTTTTTTTCATAACAGTCCTAAGGAGTTACTGCCATCCCTGCCTGGCATACATGCAAAGTAAGAAACAACACAAGTTACTAACGTTTGATCTGCCCTGTTAATTTGAGGATGGTGGAAGGATTACACCCGGCCGCATAAGAAGTTATATTGGTAGAAGAATTCAAACTCTGTACCAGTTACCTGGTTAAAGTCCTCTCCAACCTGGCAAGGTGTGCTGTATTTATATTTGAATTAAAGTAAACATTCTTACGGTGAAAGTCCAGTGTGTATTGGGCGAGGGCCATGCTACCACAATACACTCGAATGACCCCTGGCACATTTGAAGGGGGCCACAGACTGGAAACAATTCTTCGTAAACCACCTTATAAGGCTCATTATGCAACTTTTACAATCCTGATCTAGCCTATATTTCTTTCATATTGTGTTTATGGCCATGGTGAAAAAAAAGGTTGAAAATGGCTGATTTAGACTATATTTTGCATAAACATTCCACAATCTTTAGAAAATGAATTAAGCCATTTATTAACTAGTATCCTGAACGTTGTCCAAAGGACAGAGGTAGACACACTACTATATTAACAAAAAGGGAAAAAATACTTAGACTTTGGAAAATTTGCCTTTTTTGGGTGGCTGCCCTTGGGATTCCTCCAGCTGGCATGGCCACTTAGATAGGGAATTCTGGGAGTTGTAGTCCAAAAAGTAACTTTTCCAGTCTGACTCAAGTGTTCACCTCATATCACATCCTACTTGAAGACTGGCAGACTGATCATGTATGTATGCCATTGGAAGTAAATCCCACTGGGCCAAACAGGACTTCTTGTTGTTTAGTCGTTAAGTCATGTCCGACTCTTTGTGACCCCATGAACCAGAGCAC